GACATGAATGTGGGTGGAGGAGGGAAATAGAGCCTTGGCCACCCCTTCAGGATGGTCTGTGGCTGGCAGTCACCCCTACAGCCTGGGGCTGTGAGAGGACCCCCATCCCTTTAAGTAGTGTTCTCAACCCTCTCTACCTTAGAATCATCTGAAGTACTTTCAAATAATGCTAATACCAGGGCTGCACCTTTAGAAATTCTGAGTTAAGCCGGGCTCGGTGGCACAGCCTGTAATCCCAGTGCTTTGGGAGGCTGCAGTGAGTGGATTGCCTGAGCCCGTGGGTTCGAGACCCATCTGGGCAACTTGGCGAGACCTCATCTCTACAGTAAATCAAAAATTAGCCGGGCGTGGTCGTGCACGCCTGTAGTTCTGACTACTTGGAAGGCTGAGGCAGAAGGATCACCGGAGCCCAGCAGGTCGAGGCTGCAGTGGCTGGGAGTGGCCACTGCACTCCAGTCTGGGTGACAGAGTGAGACTTCAACTCAAAAAAAAAAAAAGAAATTTTGAGTTAATTTGTTGAGTGTAGGGGCATGGTGGGGGAGCCATAGGTATCACTGGTATTTCATAGAAGCTGTAATATGCAGCCTGGTTGAGAACTGCTTCGAGGTTTAGAGGCTTCTCCCCTAGAACCTTGGGATGTGGCCCTGGGCAAACCCATCTGAATCATGAGGCCTGTCTTCCCTGGTAGGAATATACCTGCTTCCCAGGCTGCTATAAATATTCTCCCAGGTGTAAGAGCTTCCTAGTCCCGATTGGAGGATGCCAGGCTGGGAGCTTGCCCCCTGTTCTTTCCTAGGTGGGCCTGTGCCTCCCCTGATCATCACAGGAAAGATCTGTCCCAGGTACAAGGTCTCTGATATAGATGGTCTCCCTTGAAATATACAGGTTGGAGCTGGGAGATCTTTCCAGGTGTGAACCTGCCTTTTGCCCTGCAGGTGTAAGGTATGCCCACTGACCTTTTTCACCAAGTCGGAGATGCAGATCCACTCCAAGTCGCATACAGAGGCCAAGCCCCACAAGTGCCCGCACTGTTCTAAGTCCTTTGCCAACGCCTCCTACCTGGCCCAGCACCTGCGCATCCACCTGGGCGTCAAGCCCTACCACTGCTCCTACTGTGATAAGTCCTTCCGACAGCTCTCCCACCTCCAGCAGCACACCAGGTGAGTGGCCTGCCTGGTGCTGCCTTCCTGCAGCCCGTTTCAGCTCAGCACCTGTGGCCTAGTGCTGGAGTCAGTGCAAGGAGAGGCGAGGAGGACCTTCTCCTGGTGCCCATTGCCCTTTTATGGTACGGCCCTTGTGGACCTCCATGGCCTCAGTTCTCACTACTGCACCACTTTTCCCACTGTATCTCATCTCTAGGCCTTTGTACATGATATGTTCTTTACTGGAGACACCCTCATCTTCCTTTTCCCCATTTCTCTGACCATCTCCTATTCATCTCTCAGTCCAACTTCCTCCAGGAACCCTCCTTGATCCCTCAAGCTGGTTAAGTGATCCGAATTTTGTATTCCCACAGGCCCTGTGTGTACCCATCACAGCAGTGGTAGGCTGTCACGTACATGTCTGTTTATCTGCCCACCTTCTTCATTATGTTGGGAATTCTTGAAGGCATGAGCATGGTCTCTTCCATTTCTACATCCCTATGTGGCACATAGTAAACATTTAGGCATTTGTCAAACACTTGTGGAATAAATAGAACTAGTTTTAATAGAGCTTTTGATTCATCCATTTAACAAATATTTATGGAGCCTCTACTCTGTGTCAGACACTATTCTATATGCTGAGGATACAGCAAGGAACAAAACAGACAAAAATTCATGCCCTCATGGGGTATACAGGCTAGTTGAATGTGTGCAGGGAGATTCAAGGATATAAATGCTTTAAGGAAAGAAAAGGTTGTGCAGGGGAAAATAAACATCAGAAAGATGGGCTCTCCAAATAAGAATTTGTATTTAAGAATAGGCATTTTAAAAAACAAACCAAAGGTTACCAAGATTGCAGTTCATCTGTTCAGAGAGAAAGAAACACAGTTTTCTCACAGGATGGTTATTATCTCCAAGAGCATTGTCATATGTTTGCCAGTATCAGCATTGTAAAAGTCAGGGATAAAATTGTTTTTGCTGTGGTGTTTGTAACTTACAGAAAGAGCTCAAGGTTTTCTCTATTTTGAGGCCTAATGCTATAGAAGTTCTCTCTTTTTTATTTTTTGTTATGATTTCATTTATCTCTATTGTCTTTGTATCCTTTATTCCAGGGTACAAAATGTTCTACCTTGTCTGTGTCTCTGACTTTGGGACATGATGCACAGGTTCAATAGTAAGAGTCAAATGGCAGAATGGCAGCAGGGGAAGGTGTCGGTCTATTTTCCATTTCCCTACTTCCTTAGGCACGGATCTGACCACAGAAATTTGTTTCAGCAATTTTCTGATGGTGTCATTAATTAAGTCCTCCTGGTGTATGATTCTTAAAAGTGAGCATGTGATACAAAGGCTTCAGAGTTACCTCTGTCAGGAGACGTTATAAAGCCCTTGGGTCAGAATTTTGATTATGTGCCTGTGTGTTTGTGTATGGCAGGAAAGCAGATTTCTTATCATATAATCAAAGATCAGGAACCTAGAACCATTCAATTCACTCTGCCATATTGTGCCTGTACAACCCGTAATGTTTGGGGTACCCTTTTTTTGGAGAATCCTCAGGTTTGTCAGTATTCTGGACAAGCAGTAATTGGTGTTTTAAAAATAATATTAAAAACTGAAATTTCACAAACTGTGGAACAGGTCCAATCCAGTTTCCTGGAGGCCTGGGAGGCCTCATTCCCACATTTGCAATACGATCCTCGTTTCTTACTATCAGGGTTGTCATGCCTAATTAAATGAGATTCATCTTTAAATGTGACATTTCTGGCACAGTCATGGTTACACATTTGATTTACCCAATTATATCCTATTAGGAAGGAGGACAGATTCTTATTGAACTTGTTTACAGAACTAATTAATGATCATAAAAAAGAAAATGGTTCCCATAGAGGCACTTTGAATATTTTTAAGCAGTTATTCCAAATAATTTTTTAGATAAGGCCATTATATATGTTGTTTTCAATAAATGTTTATTTTTAAATTTCCCTGATAATTTATTAGTTGATCTGTATTCGATTTTTAGAGCTCCCCTTACCCCCCACCCCTGGAATTCTGAAGAGTTAGTTGGAACAAGACACCATTTAAGGAATATTTTATTTTACTTTGTTAAATATAACCTCCTAAATTGAAGATTAGAAAGCAAAGAAAAAAAAGGTTTTCTCAAATGCCTTTGGAAAATAGAACATTAGCCACAATAAAATCTGTTATAGCCAATCCTAAGGAATAATTCCTGGGTCACTGATCCTGGGTTAGTTAGTCCACTTTACAAAGTGATCCACTTCTGGACTAAGAACTCTTGGATCCTGCCTTGTCGTCTGGTAGTGTCTGGTCTTGGTGAGGATGCCAGCTTGGAAACCTGTACCTGTTCATCTCGACCCTGAAGGATCAAGATCCAAGTGGGTGTGTTATAGTCCTTCCCTGAGGCTATCATTCTCTTGACATTTCTTTCAGAAGATGACGTTTCTGACCTATAGCTTGCAGCAGAGCCCTTTAGGCAAATGTGAGGGGAAGGTCAGACTTGTTGATCAGACTGAATGATTCTGGTCAGTTAACTGTAGTAATCGACGATATCAGAGTGGAGGAGAATGGAGTCCTCTATGCAGGTCTAATGCATGATCAATTTTTTAGATTAAAAACACATTATAGGCAGCAAGAGCATTGGCCTATTTCCAGGGCCTTTTAGTTTGTCTCAAGAAGCATGGGTTATGACTGTCACTAATTGACAAGGGTATTTTAAATCTAGAGACAAAATCTTTTTAAAGGAATATTTTTGTTGATGCTTATTGTGTCAGCCTCTACATTAAAATAGGCTTTTAAAAAAGTTGCACAAACACACACATATATATATATTCATAGTATATATTTATATGTATATAACATTTTTTTTTGAGTTGGAGTCTCACTCTGTTGCCCAGACTGGAGTGCAGTGGCATGGTCATGGCCACTGCAGCCTCGACCTGCTGGACTCAGGTGATCCTTCCACTTCAGCCTTCCAAGTAGCTAGAACCACAGACATGCCACCATGCCCAGCTGATTTTTTGATTTATTGTAGAGACGAGATCTCGTCATGTTGTTCAGGCTGGTCTCAAACCCCTGAGCTCAGGTAATCCTCTCGCCTCCACCTCCCAAAATGCTGGGATTACAGGCATGAGCCACTGTGCCTGGCTAATATGTATGTAAAATTAACCCAGAAAGTTTGAGTTTCTCTTCTTTTCGATTTGCCAACTTATACTACAAACTTCAAAGGGCAGCAACCATTCTAGTGTTTGGCTAATTAAAATATGGAGAATACAGGCTGGGTGCAGTGGGTTTACACCTGTAATCCCAGCACTTTGGGAGGCCAAGGTGGGAGAATCACTTAATCCTAAGAGTTCAAGACTAGCCTGGGCAACATAGCAAGACCTTGTCTCTAAAAAAAAAAAAAAATTATCCGGGTGTGATGGTATGCACCTTAGTCTCAGCTACTTGGGAGGCTGAGGCAGGAAAATTCCTTGTGCTCAGGAGCCTGAGCCTGTGGTGAGCCGTGATTATGCCATTGCACTGTAGCTTGGGCAACTAAGTGAGACCTTGACTCAGAAAATAAGAAAAAATGGAGAATACAAAACAGCCCCAGTTATTTTGAACATCCCTCTTTTTATAAAGCAAAGGATCAAATCTTTGGTGTTGCCCAGTAACCATCTGGATAGTCCAAGAATATTTGAATATAAAAGACACCTTGACAGTTTTATCTTTCTGAATCAGGGACCAGGATTTGAGAAAGGCAATAGTACAAGATTGGCAGACTAATCAAGCTAATAAACAGTAACAAGTAATAATAATGATGAAGAATTCTGTTTTTTTCAGAAGTAGACTTTGTATAAAAATATCATTTAAGAACATGACCAAAAACAGCAAAAAAAATTAACTGGCCCTTGAAGGAGAATATTTTGCCAGAATGTTCCTTGACCCAGAGATTACTCTCCATTCTTAAAGGCACATTTTTTTCTTTCTCTTTTTGTTTTCTTTTGAGTGATTTGAGTTTATAATGGCAGGAAACCAAGCAAACAACATAAGAAAATTCTATCAACATTCAGAAGACAATTTATAACTTACTAGGCACTGGGCACATATAATTAAACCGATGTGTCCTAACCCAGGGAGGCAAAGAGGCGAGTGTCCCAAATGCCCCAAAGTCCCAGAATTCTTAGACAAACAGGGGAAAAAAAAAAAAGGCCAAAGCTAGAGAAGCAACCAGATTCTGGATTCCTTGTCCTTTGCTCTTTGACAGAGACCCTTTCCTACTTGTTTGTCCCTTGGCAGAGAACCAGACATCAGATCATATCAATCTATCTTCCCAGTGTTACAGGCACTAACAACAGCCACTAATGAAGGGAATAAAAGAAGGTCATGTCCAAAACAGAGCCAGCCCCGGTCAAGTATGAGAGGTAGAGTTAGAAAGAGGGTGAGCAGCGCCCTCAGAGCTGAGAAAGATGTGTCTGGGAGGCTGTGGGAGTGACGTGGCCAAGTGGCTCTGTTAAATCTGAACATCTTGGGGACCTGCAGCATGAAAGGGAGGCACTAGAGAAGTAGGTGACTTGCAAAGTGTTACATGAATCTAGACATCAGAAGGATCAGCCCACTAAGAAATAAGGATCACATGGACTTATAGAGAAAATAAACCATATTTGCTGATATAGCTAGTCTGTTCATGGTGGAAAAACAGCATTGTCTCATGCATTTGTCATAATGTATAAGGGTCATCACACAGCCACAGATACCACAATGTGAAAAGTCAAGGATAATGTTGTTTTGGAAGGCAGTAAGTTATAAGACAGGGTTCAGAGTTTTATCTATTTGCAGAACTAGTACTAGACAGAGTGACTCTGGATTTGTTTGTTTATCCAGGGTGCAATGTGTTTTTTGTTTTTGTTTTTCTTTCCCTGACTGTGAGACACTGTGTACATATATCATGAAAATTGCAGCAAGGGAAGATATTTTATTTTCTCAAGTCTGATAATAATCATGGTAATAATAACAACACCATTTCTTGTCAAAGAATTATGTGCCTATTCCTGCATAAGGTGCTTTGACATACAAGGTGTCCATAAGTCCTTGTACTGTGTAGATCTGTTATTTCTTTGTAAGGGATAAGGAATTTGAAAAATGCCACAGAGAGGGAATCATCTCAAGGAGTGTTTAACTCTCACTGTATCTTCCATTATTTTAGTTACAAAGCACAACATGGCTGAAGCTGTTGCATATAATGTGTAGTTCAATATCTGAGAAGTAAAAGTCATAATTAATGAATCCTTAATAATTTTATTTAAACGTTGAATAAATTCCTTCTTTGTCTTCATAAATTGTTCATCTTTTTTTTTTTTTTTTGAGTCAGAGTTTCACTCTGTCGCCCAGGCTGGAGTGCAGTGGCTTGCTCATGGCCACCACAGCCTCAACCTGCTGGGCTCAGCTAATCCTTCCCCCTCAGTCTTCCAAGTAGCTGGAACTACAGCACACACCACTACGCCCAGCTAATTTTTTGATTTATTGTAGATACGAGGTCTCGTCAAGTTGCCCAGACTTGTCTTGAACCCGTGGGTTCAGGCAATCCTCTCACCTCTGTCTCCCAAAATGTTGGGATTACAGGCTTGAGCCAGTGCGCCCGGCCAATTGTTTATCTTAAACAGAAATTAATCTATTAAAAACCAACTGCAAAATATGTAACGAACACCATTCATATGAAGCCATTTAGTCCTTGCAATTCATACAATCTTTATTATTATCCCCATTTTAGAGATGAGTAGCTGGGGCTGAGGGAGGCAGAGTCACTTGCCCATGGTCACCCAGCTAAGAGTTGGCAGAAGTGAGATTTGAGTACAGTGCTCATGTTCCAGGAAGGAGGAGGAGCTGGGATATGAAGTGGCAGAAAAGGCTCACATGGGGTGGAGGTGCCCAGCAAGAGAGCAGAGCAAGTCTTGGGAGTCCCTGAGGAGAGATTGGGGTGATAGGGGCGGAGGGACAGCCCAGGGGCACTGGCTGCAACTAACTGCCCTGGAATTGGGGGTGAGCCTTCCATCACCACAGATGTGGGAGTCGGGGTGGGTGCTCCCCTACAAAGACGGGATTCTGATGTTGGAATTGAGGGCTTGGACCTGACTTGAAATTCAGGGACTGGAGACGACAGCTTTGTGGCCAGTGGGAACAGGCAGTCTGGACATCTCTTTACCCAACAGTTGTTCCCTGAAGCTCTTTCTGAACCCACCCAGTGCTGGTGCCATGTACAGGGACAAGTGAGTGGTCAGAGGTACTGCCCTGGCCCAAAGGAACTCCCACCAGGACCTGGGAGGCTGGTGGATGTGAGACTTCCTTGAGACAGGAAAGGATGAGGTGGAGGTTGAGGAAGATCATCTGCATCGAGTACCGAAGGGTTCCTAGTCCTCCCAGTCAGAGGGAGAAGAGCATTTCTGGCAAGGGGCACAGCATGAACAAAGCTCAGAGGCCTGCATCTGCCTGTGTATTGGGCGAGGTTGGTGGGGTATCCTGCTGAGGAGTGCAGTGGCAAAGAAGGAGGCTTTAGAAACCGAGGCCAGGATGTGAGGGGCCTTGAAAGCTGGGAGGGGGCTGGAAAAAGAGGGAGACAGTAGAGGCTGACAAGCCATGCCAAGGTTAGACCCCTACAGCTGCTGCTGTAACCAAGGCCAGGAGGGGAGCGACTGAGGCTGGGAGTCCAAGGAGGAGGCTGGGCATTGGTTGCACTTGGGAGGAGGCCAGAGGGGCAGTTTGCAAGTCAAGAGGGCTTGGCTGTGTCCCTGAGGAAGAACCTGAAGACCCTGGAGGACTGTCAGTCGGTCAGTCAACAAACACTCATGAAGTACATCTCAGGAATGGAAGTTGCTGATGATGTGGAGCATATTTCTGTTGTCGGTGACTTCAGAGAGAAAGAACTCACTTGCCTCCATTCAGTCTACAGCTATTTATGGAGTCCTCTCTGGACTGAGCCTCTGCCAGGCAATAGGGGCGATGGTGAACGTGCCCAAGGGAGTGCCTGTTCTCAAGGAGGCAGCCAAGAACACAGTGACCAGACATTGGCAAAATAAGTGTCCGTGCATAGACTTTTGGGAAGGAGATTCCTTGGTGCTTGGGGGAGCCTGAGCTAGTCTGGAGGGTTGCGGGAGCAGGAGTGTGGGTGTTAGCCAGGTATTAGCTGAGGGACAAGTGTGCCTGGTGGGGGGAACAGTCTGGTTAAAGGACTGAAAGTAGGAAAGAGCTCAGAATATCAGAGGGGCTGGTGCAAGGCCATCAGACTGGGCTTTGGGGTGAAGGGAGAGGAGAAGACCTGGGAGGTGCTGTTGTAGGTTTTGAAACAAAGGCAGTGCATGCCTGGGACCCTGAGTTCCTTCTGCCGCCTAGCCCCTAACCAAATGAATTCTCCAGCCCTGGAGGGGAATGAGGATGGGACGAAATGGAGGATGTGCTAGCTTGCATCAGGTGGAGCTGGTCCAGATGACCCTTCAGGTCCTCCATGGTAGAGACAGGGTACAGTAGCCTGGGATGATGTCCCCAAATGTGACACCCAGAAATATTCAGGGAGGATAAGGATTCTCAGAACTGGGTCAGGCTTCCCTTGGCATAGCTAGGGGCAGTAGGCTGGACCCTGGGCCTTGCTCCTGAGACTGGGACTCACCCTTATCCTTGGGATTCCCCACCCAGCCATGGATACAGATGAGGGGGTAGCCTGAGTGCACAGTGGGGTCAGCGCTGTGATGGGGAGCTGTCATGTACTCTGGGAGCCTGTGGGGTGAGCCACACACCTAGGGGAGGCCCCTTAGATCCTTACTTATTGATGGATCAGGAAGAATGAGCCTACATTTAGGCTGGCAGAGGAATGGTGTGGCCTCTGTACTGAGGATACAGTGGGGCAGAGGTGTGTGGAGAATCACCCAACATGATTGCCAGGTAAGAAGTTGTTCTCTGACCAGGACGGGGGTAGCGTAGGAAGCAGGAAGGTGAGGTTGAACCATCTGACATAGGCCTTGAAGGGACACACTAAGGAATTTGGACTGTCAGTGTTTATAACGGTAGCCAACATCATGGGCTCACTGGTGACAAGGAGTGTTTTCTTTTTTTCAACTTTGTATCTCTAAGTCCAGCATTGGGTCTGACAAGAGGGGCCATAGTTTCTCTGACAACTTTATTGATGAACTGAGCCAACCCAGTCGGCAGAATAGACTTGGAGGGAAGAGCGGACACCATTTGGCCAGATCTATATTTCCCTCCGTCTCATGCTCCTCAGTAAATTAGGCCAACAAGGCTCAGGCCCCACCAGCCTTTCATTGCCTGCTTGTGTGGCACTGGGGACTTGTCAGAGTGGATGACTTGAGATAAGCCCTGGGAGATCGTACAAGGGCCTGAGTGGGGAAAGAGGGAATGCCACAGTGAGTGTGTACAGGTTCTGAACTCTGTCTACTGCTCCATCACCTGGTTAGCTGGACAGACACATGTTGTCATCAACCCTCAAGTCATTGCCCCAGTGTCACTTTCTTCATGAGGCCCCACCCGGATCACCCTTGGCTGGGCTCGGAGGCTCAGCCTGTAATCCCAGCACTTTGGGAGGCTGAGGCCAGTGATTTGCCTGAGTCCGTGAGTTCGAGGCCAGCCCGGGCAACTTGGTGAGATCTCATCTCTACAATAAATCAAAAAAATTAGCCAGGCATGGTAGCGCGCACCTGTAGTTCCGGCTCCTTGGAAGGCTGAGGTGGAAGGATCGCCAGAGCCCAGCAAGTCGACGCTGGGGTGGCCGTGAGTGTGCCACTGCACTCCAGCCTGAATGACAGAGAGACTATAACTCAAAAAAAAAAAAAGCCCCCCTCCCTCCCTGGCCTTCACAGTCCCCCTTAGGCTCTGTTTTCCTCTTAGCACTTGATGCCTTCTATGTGTGGTTTGCTTGTTTGTTGTATGCTTGTTTATTTTCACCAGGCAGTGGGTTTTGTCTGTTTTGTTCACTGATTCTGAGTACCTGGTGTGGTGCCTGGTGCACAGGTACCCGATGGGATAAATGTTGAATGAATGAATAATCATGATACTGGCAAAAGTCCACTGAATGCTGACTTTGTGCCAACATTAGGTTGAACACCTTATATGCATTATCTGATGTTATCTTCACAAAGCCTGGTGAGGCTGAGACTGGTTCATATACCCATTTTGCAGATGAGGAAATCAATACTCATTGATTTGCCCAAGGTCACCCAACCAGTAAATAGTAGCACCAGGATGACCACCTGAGAGGAGAGGGATGGAAGGAGCTCCTGAGAAGGACACGGGGCTGAGCTTCGGGGCCAGCTGTCCTGCATTCTCTCAGTCACTGGGGTGCCCATGTAGCTGTCTTAGATCTGTGCCTGACCTGGAGAGGGGACAAGAAATAAGAGTCCAGGGCCAGGGCAGGTCCCAACATAGCCATGAATCTGCGTTCTTTCCAATGGGTAGTCTGTGGGATTGGGTTCTGAGAAGAGAGGAGCCGAATGCAGTCAAAGCAAGCCCCTGAAATTCGCTGGAGGCCCGGACTGGGTCTGAGCGGGCACGGGTGGTGGGTTGGGGGCAGCAGGGACTGACGGGGAGCGGGGATGCTCTATGCCAGACTGGCCATGGAGACCAGAGAAGGGAGAGAGAGTGGCTTTGATGTCCCAGCTTGTGCCTGGGGTTCACTTGTGGCCACTGGGGAGAGTGGGTGGGGTGGGGACTGAGAGGCTTGGGCGATGGAGCAGTCTGGGGGTGTGTGTCAGGGACCTCCACCTCACTGGGCTGCCATTGCAGAATCCACACAGGCGACAGACCCTACAAGTGCCCACATCCTGGCTGCGAAAAGGCTTTCACTCAGCTCTCCAACCTCCAGGTAAGTGCCCACCTGCCTCCCCTCCGAAGGGAGCATGAGAAGGGAGTGAGCTGGGGGAGCCTTGCTCACCCATGACCCCTGCTGTACTCCCTGCAGTCTCACCAGCGCCAGCACAACAAGGACAAGCCCTACAAGTGTCCCAACTGCTACCGGGCCTACTCGGATTCCGCCTCCCTGCAGATCCACCTCTCTGCCCACGCCATCAAGCACGCCAAGGCTTACTGCTGCAGCATGTGTGGGCGGGCCTACACCTCGGTGAGTGCCAGCTGGCCCTGCCTGGGACCCTGCGGGAGCCTCTTCCTCTTCCTGGGCCTCAGCTACCTCTTCCTTAGATGTGTACTGACTCCGTTTTCCAGATGAAGAAACTGAGGCCCAGAGAAGGGAAGTGACTCCCCAAGATTGCAGGGAATGGCAGAGCCAGAACTTCTGCTTCCCACTTATTGTTTTAACTGCCCCAGGCCAAGCCTCCAGCTCCCTGCCTGCCTTTGGCCTGGAGTCCTGAGGCCCTGGAATACTCAAGGCAGTGGTGGGTGGCCTTTCACCCTGCTCTCCAGAGCTGGGGAGAGAAGGACCTTCCTGTAGCCAGGGTAGCTGCAGCTCCCATTATGGCCAGAAGGTGGCACAGTGATTTGGCCCAAAGCCACCCTCATTTCAAGAAAGGCCTGAACAGCACAAGAACGGTCATAGCATCCAATCAAGTCCCCTTTACCCACCTCCCACCCCATCCCTGTGTGGGAATTTCCCCAAACAAGGGCCTTTTGGCATCCAGAAAGAAATGCCTTTGAATACCCAGGTGAGTCACTTGAGTGTGCTTCTGGTTAATTTTGGATAACAGACCTTCATATTCCCAGTATAGAGGTCACTGAACCTCAATTTCCTCATCTGTAAAATGGACTAACTCATAGGGCTGTTGGCTGGCAGATTAGTGCCTAATCAACCTGAGCTCCTACAGTTATTTATTCACTCAGTGGTTACTAAACGCTTGTGCCTGGGGCTCAGGAATCAGGATAAACCAGACTATTTTTTCCCCCAGGGAGGCTAGAAACAACTGTTGGGGACAAGTATTAAATGAGTAACCACACACATAAGTATTTGATGGCAAATTACGGTAATTGCTCTAAAGCAGAGTCTTCTAGCCCTGACCATATTAGCACTGGGGCAGAATGCCTTTATGTTGTGGGACCAGCCTGTGCTTGGAAGAATGTTTAACAGCATCCTGGACCTCTACCCACTAGATGCCAGTACCAACTCCTTCCAAGTGGTGACATCCAAAAATATTTTCAGGTTTTGTCAGCTGTCTCTGGGGGCAAAATAGCTTCTATTGAGCACCACTGCTCTGAAGAAGAGTATATGTTGAAAGATAGTGACAGGAAGGAGAAAATGGAGTTGGGAAGGGGATGGGTCCAGACACACCACTGGAGAAAGTGCCATTTAGATGAAGACATGAAGGATAATTAGAGGAGGAGGAGAAACCTGGGCGCAGTGGCTCATGCCTGTAATCCCAGCACTTTGGGAGGCAGAGGAGAGAGAATTCCCTGAGCCCACAGATTCGAGACCAGCCTGGGTAACTTGGTGAGACTTCATTTCTACAATAAATCAAAAAATTAGCCAGGCGTGGTGGTGCATGCCTGTAGTTCTAGCTACTTGGAAGGTGGAGGTGGAAGAATCTCGTGAGCCCTGCAGGTTGAGGCTGCGATGTCTGTGAGCGTGCCTCTGCACTCCAGCCTGAGTGACAAAGTGAGGAACTGACTCAAAAAAAAAAAAGAACCTTCCATGCAGGGGTACAGTGAGTGCAAATGCCCTGAGGTAGAACAAACTTGGTATGTTGCAAGAACTGAGAGAATATTAGATCATGCAGGGCTTTGGGGCCCTGCTAGGAAGTTTGGAGACTTTTTTGGAGATATTTCTAGGTGGAATAAGAAGCCACTGGGAGGGGACCATCAGGGAGGGTTTTTGTTAGTTTTAGAGATGGGGTTGGGGGGAGGGGTCTTGCTATGGTGCCCTGGTAGTGGAGACTCAAACTCCTGACTCAAGGGATTCTCCTGCTTCAGCCATCAGAGCAGCAGCAGGAGCTATAGGCACTTACCACTGTGCCTGGCAGGGAGGGTATTTTTGAAAGGTCACTCTGGGCCAGGGTCAGCGGCTCAACCTGTAATTCCAGCACTTTAGGAGGCCGAGGCGAGTGGATTACCTGAGTCCACAGGTTTGCAACTAGCCTGGGCAACTTGGTGAGGCCTCATCTTTACAAATGTTTGCTGGGCATGGCAGCACAGGACTATAGTTCCAGCTACTTTGAAGGCTGAGGCAGAAGGATCACCGGAGCCCTGCTGGTCAGCACTGGGGTGGCCGTGAATGTCTTACTGCACTCCAGCCTGGGCGATGGAGTGAGACTCCACCTAAAAAAAAAAAGGTCACTCTGGCTAGAGGGGGAGCGTGGATTGTGGGTGGGGTAGTTGGTAGCATTGGTCAGGTGCTAGCCAGGGCTGCTGCTTGCTAAGGGCTGAGTCTGTGGCATTTGTACTTCTCTGGGTTTCACAGGGCAGGGGAGGGTTGAGAGGCTGAGTGGGCAGGGCCTGCAGGGGTGAGAGCTCTGTGGCTGGCTGATCTCTAGTCGGTCCCTGGCTCTCTCCAAGGCTCAAGTTCTCCATACCCCTTATACCGTCAACCAGTCTGGTCTCATCCATTCCCCTGTTTTTTAAAGTAGAACACAGGCATTGTATTATTTTATTTGTAAAAATTTCACTTTGTGTCTCTGAAGAGGAGGACTCCTTGGTTGAACACAATACCTTTAGGATAACTCAAGGTAGCCTGTAATCCAAGTACTTTGGGAGGCTGAGATGAGTAGATTGCCTGAGCCCGCGGGTTCAAGACCAGCCCAGGCAACTTGGCGAGACCTCGTCTCTACAATAAGTCAAAAATTAGCTGGGCATGGTAGCACGTGCCTGTAGTTCTGGCTAC